GCCTATCATCTTTGGGGTGACGTAAGATGTGCCAGAGGGACACTGAAACAGGAAATGGGCAGCAGCATCTTCCTGATAACAGCTGAATAATTAAAAATAACAAAAATTGTACAACCGACTTTAATATAAATTATTAAGAATAACTCAAAAACTATTGGTCAGACCTTGATCAATGGGACCACATGACAAGCACCAGCTTTCAATTAAAAGAAGAATCATCGAAATCGGTTCACCCAGAAAAAAGTTATGAGGTACCTACACATAAAAAAACATACAGTCGAATTGGGTATCTTCTCCTTTTTGAAGTCGGTAGATAAAATAAAGACTGCGCTTGTCAAGCATGGCAACTATGGCAAATATTCCCTCCAATGGGGCAATTTATGGGGGAGGCTTACGTTCTGCAGTGGACTTTATATAGGCTGCCATAGATACGTCTTTACGACCTTCAAGAGCATACTCCTTTTTATAACCTGAAATTCTTCTGTGGTTTGTAGTTGTTCATGGGCGTCACTTACTATCAGGTTAGGCGCATGCTCCCTTACCTCCCTCAAAACAAATATGTACACCCGGACAAAACAAACCCTTAGCTACACGTGCTTACCGTGTAGTGGCGGTGTAAAAATATCCACTACCCCATATTATCGTCCGTCGCAAAAGGCGACAGAGGCAAACAAACCAGGAAATGGCCAGCTGGGTCTTACTGCCAAGCGTGTCAGGCGCCATGTGATGCGCCTTAGGTTCAGCAGTGGACTTTTGATAAGTTGTATTGATAATGATAATAGCAAAGTACTCGTGTAAAAATTATGCCAAGTCACGGCTTGAAGTTAGAATATATTAAATAAACAATTACACACGTTGGTTACAGTTTGTGAAGGTGACGTTGCATTGTTTAAATAATAATTACTATGCCCTTGTGGCCGTTTTCGGCATTTTTTTACTCTAGCAGCCCCGGACGGTTGCCATGCTACGCTGTCGCTGTGCTATTAGTGTAGAACAGATTGGTCGACTCGACAGGTGCAGGACTACGCTCTCACAGAATACCAGCTTAAAGTAGCAGCATCAAGCTGCTATTTTACGTGTGCTTGGTATGGTGAGTGTGGAGAACCGTAGATCCCTTTTACTGGAAACTAGGCATTCCATCTTAGTTCTCAGGGATGATAACGCATTTGCAGTTTGATTCTTAATCGGGGACAAATGTAGATGTCTTTGGTCCACAGTATCCACTTACCATCAAGTGGACTGTGTTGCTCGTTTGTAACACTTATTGTAAAAAAAAAGAAGTATCATGACATGATGAAATCGCAACAATTTGTGAAAAACACATATTCTAGTTTTGACTGGTATTTGACCTCTAATCTCGCTAAGTTATATTTAGGTGCTTTAACCAAATATTTTTCTTATAGGATAAGGGTAACAAGCGAGCACACAGTCCACCTGATGGTAAGAGGTTGCTGTGGCCTATAGACATCCACCTCTATCCTCGTTTGCGAATCAATATGCAGATGCGTTGTCAGCCGTGAGGATTAAGATGGAATGCCTCTTTTCCAGTAAAAAGGGTCTCTGGTTCTCTACATTCACCATACGAAACAGCAGCATTAAGCTGCTATATTAAGCTGGTATTCTGTTAAAAGGTGGTCCTTCCCCGGTCGAGACAACCCATTCGTGCAACAACTAAGGTACGTGAAGGTAATATGATCACCTTAAGCTTTGCCGCACCGCACTATAAAACGAAAACTAGCAGGAAGACAGAGATAAAAACAAAAAGTCGTATACTCATAATATTAGGAAAAAACTAGCAAACAACCTTTGGCAATAACTGGGAACACTTCGAAAATCAACTTAAAAAAAATACTAAAATCGACTCAAATATTTACTATAATGTCAACTGTCAAAATGGCGTCGTTAAAGAAGCAGCATATTTTAACTGACCGATGAAGAGCTATCGGGTATCATAAAATCATCTATGCAAACAATGCTGTAGTTTTTGGGTTATAAGATGACCATATTACCCTCATATATAGCTGCAGTGTGGTTCTGGCACGTATCATAATTCAAAATTAAAAAATTTGTACAACCGACTTCAATATAAATTATTAAGCATAACTCAAAAAAACTATTGGTCAGACGTTGATCAAATTTATATAGGACCACATGTGAAGCACCAGCTTTCAAATAAAGAAAAAGAATCATCGAAATCGGTTCACCCAGTAAAAAGTTATGAGGTAACACACATAAAAAAAACATACAGTCGAATTGAGTACGGTCTCCTTTTTGAAGTCAGTAGAAAATACTACGCCGTCTTTGAGTAACTATAAAGCCTACAGTTCTATAGTATATCTGGCCTTCCAACAAATGAAGTAAGGCTTAGATTAGTTTGGATCACCAATCTGTGTCAATTTTTTTTTCTCTAGTCTGATTGCATTGTAAGTGTGCGAATGTCTTTATTACCTATACGTTTTATTATCTTTATTTAAAAAAGAATACTGGCAGTGCTGTTAACAGTACTAATATTCATCTTAACTACTCCAACTAAATTTTAAAATACCTATGCTTTTTAATTAATTAATTTATTTATAAGAGTCACCGACAGATAATACACAAAAATTAAAAACAACATACAAGCATTGTGAGAAACATGCAATATGCTCACCCAGTTATAGGCAACCACAGCTAACAAAGAGTAATGTAGCGAAAAGTTAATTAACGTAAAATTTAATAAATAGTACAGTAGCACAAAATTGCGTATTTATGAGAAATAAAAAAGGTTTTCATTTATCATCTAAAATATACTTAGATTCTAAATAAAGTAACATTTTTCTTCTGAAATTATTTAAATTGTCATTGAAAATATCCAAATCAGATGGCCTAGATATATCATTATACAGTCGAAACATTCAGCATAATGCTGATTTCTAGGAGTGAGTGAGTGCTAGGAGTGGAATGAGTGTTACCAACGAGCACACAGTCTACCTGATGGTAAGTGGAACCTGTCTGCCATAGACATATACATTTATGTAAATATGGAACGATGTATCAACCAATACTTGTCAAAATAAAGGCTTTTATTATTATTACTAACGGTCCTTATTCACTTATTTAGATAATATCATAAATAACACTGTTAATGAACAATTGAAATTTTAAACTCGATCTCTTGAACAGATCCATCGAATGGCAAATTATGGAACTTGTTATCTTTTTTTATAATTGTTGAATGATTTGTTACATATTCAGAAATGCAGTAACAGATAACCAACGTTCATCCTGAAGATTATATTAATGAATCAATACCTAATGGGAATATAACTGGGAACTTCAGAAACCGAGCATAAGTCGTTTTTATTTTACATTCTGTAATTATACTACCTCGTTATACCTTTCAGACCGAAATACAGCAGTTCAGGCACTGCTGGTTCTCGGCAGAAAAGTAGTCCTAACACCAACTTAGAGAGCAACCTAGAAGAAAGTTACCCAAGTCTATTCTTTGATTGTGACTATGATTTATTTTGTTAAAAAAAAACAATAGACAAATTTTATTGATTTTTCTTCCCACATATTTATTTATATAATAATTCATTTAAAGTATATTAATTTTTTTTTATTAAAAATTTCATTTCTTTTAGTAATTATTAATAAAAAATAAAATAAAATTTTGGAATAAAACAAAAAACGACTTTTAATTGGTTGTGACGTCATTATATCCGCCAATCGCAATTATGCTATATTTTTGTATTTTCTATATTCGGATCACCATGTGGCATAACTCATAACAAAACATAATATATAACCTGTATTATTCAATGACACTTTTTTTCATTTTTACAGTTTTATCATTTCACCATGCGGTGGCGTTACTAAAGCTACATAATGACGTCACTGAAGTTTGCATTTACATTTTAGAAAAACCATTTATAATTGAATAATTACATGAAAAATCAATTGATATTTTTTATATAATTTATCTTAATAATTTTTAGTGATCTTTCAAAAAAAAACATGCAACTTCTCTATTGTATTTTGACCACAAAAATGGAAAAATGAAGATACTTGCGGAGTTTCATTTACTGTTTCTAGTCTTTTAATCAGATGAATCTTAATGGAATTTGAATTTATCATTCACTTAAATTGAATATTATAATATGTTAGTGACTGCTTAAATTTTTATATTTGAACATTAAGACTTAAAGTCTTAAATTTTATGTTACTGATCATGAAAGTTTTGTTAGCTGAAATCCTGTCTTTCCTTCTAATAAATATTTGTTTTACCAATATATTTTAGTTTATAATATATATTAATAACACATCCAAATAAGTGTAATGTACAATAGAAATATTTGTTAAAAGAAATTTTTATCACATACATCACCATACATTAATAATATCATGTTCTATGTATCTGCTTATAGCATAACTTTTTATTTTAAGCAATCCTAACTTCATGAACAAATAACTGTAAAGATAAGATTATGATACCGATATTGAGAAACATGTTTAGATTATTGAGATATTTTTGATTATATTGAAAAACATGTTAAGTTCAACAATATAAAGTAACAATCAAATCTCAAGTAAAGAGTTAAGTCATATATTGCAATAACACCAGTGTCTTTAAAAAAAAAATTACCTGGTTTTATTTTCAATTATTAAAAAACTACTATCCATAGTCAAGAATAATCCAAGTTGCAAAGGTTTTCAGATTCAGGATCAGGATCAATAGGAAAGGGCACACAGGAAGGAATCCATTGGAAGAACACTTACCAATCCCTAGCAACAAAAAAAGCAATGAAATGTTTGTCTTGCAGAAAAACAATATATTCAAAATGTTATGTCAAATGTAAATGTAAAAACTTTATATATATATATATATATATATATATATATATATATATATATATATATAAAGTATATATATACATTATACAGTCTCATCCGTATGATTGATCAATCATATGTTGAAACTCAAAAAATATATTATCTAATCAGTAAATAAAAACACTTACGTGTATGCTTTCACCAAGTAATGCTGCTTGATGCATCAGTTTCTTAGGTATACATCCAACATTGACACAAGTACCACCGAGCCCCCATTTTGTTCCTTGTGGAGATGGGGTCACATAATCTAACACAGCAACTCGCGCTCCATGATTTACAGCTTCTTTTGCACAGGCCAAGCCTCCAGAACCCCCTCCAATAACCGCCAGATCGTAGTCGAATGTCCCATCTACAATATTTTATGGGTCGTATTTAGAATCAATTGGCAGGAATTTAGAGTAAGGTGTTATTTCTGGTAGAGGGTTGGTCCCCAATTATAACAATACCACTCGCATTAAAAGATAATGCACTATTTTCGAGAAAATAAAAAACTATTACAACCTAAAAATGGGTAAACAGAAAACCTAATGCAATGTTACTGTGAAAGCTGGATAGCATACATAATTTTGTGTAAGTGTGACAAGGACGTAAGACCACATCAAAGACTGTCACATTATTATACTCCTATGGTATTTTTATTATTCGGTGGTCTACGCTCTCATTATAAATTATGTTTCGAAACAAAAAAGAAATGATTATTACATACTTTTGTGGTTATTTATTTTAAGTTAGTTTTTCAGTTGAGTTAGGTTAGAAGACTGTCACGGGAGCCCAGTAGAACTCCCACCACAGCCTTTGTAGTAATGTTTTTGCCGCCCAGAAATACATGAGCACTCAAAAATCTTTAGTTGTGATAGGGGGATACAGTCCCCCCTCCTGCCGGAACGATAAATATTATTATTTTCGGGTTAGATCTATGGGATTTTCTGTTTAATTTTTCTCAAGAACAGCGTATTACCTTCTCATGGGAGTGATGTCAGGGAGTAAGGAACACTCCCGTCTCCCCCTCCTGCCAAACGATTCTAACTTTTTACCATTTTTATAAATAAATAAAGATTTGTGCCCTTGCTCAAACAAATTTTTTCTTTAATTATGTAGTCTTACTTGTACATTAATCTAAATAGAATTTTGCCTATGAATAAAAAAGTAAAATCTCTTGTTGTCTAAAAATATTCCTTCATCACAAAACAATTAGCTCTCAAAAAGACAAGTACCCAAAATGACAAGTTACATTTTTTATTTATTTTTATAATAAAAAATAATTTGAAAGGTTTCAAAATTTTTTTAATTTATTAACTGTAAAAAAATATAAAAATAATAAATACCCTAAGAGGTGATAATGAAAAATGCCAAAACGATCTCATGACATCTGAATGATAGTGGCATAGTCATCGGACGCACATGATTTAATACAGATATCTAAACCAATGATAGGATGCAGTGTCAAAACATGATTGTAACAGCAAATTCTAAATCATATATTTATGTTCATTTGTGAATATTAGAAATGGAAGTAATACTTGTACGTAACTATGACATGACTTATTATTACACTACTTTCAAGGCAGCACAAGCATTAAAAAAAGTCGAATCCGTCTAGTTTTTCTGATTATAGACCTATCTCTATCTTGCCTTTCCTTTCCAAAGTTTTTGAACGCTTGTGCACAATCAATTAAGCACCTATCTTTTAAAACATTATCTTTTAAATCCTTTGCAATGCGGTTTCCATCCTAGCCATAGTACGACTACTCCACTTTTACAAATCACTCATGATATTCGGTATGGTATGGAGAAACAAAAGCTTACCATTCTTACGTTACTTGATTTTAGTAATGCATTTAATACAGTAGATATTGATATCTTGTTGGGCATCCTGTGCTTTTTCAACATAATAGTTGACTGGTTTCGAAGTTACTTGTTTGGTCGCCAACAGCGCATTCAGGTGCAAGATGTTTTTTCCACCTGGACTATTACAGCGGCTGGCGTACCACAAGGTGGCGTGTTGTCTCCTCTCCTGTTTGCAATTTTCATTAACTCTATAAGTCATAATTTTTCCTCTTCCTACCATTTGTATGCTGATCATCTCCAAATCTATACTCAATTGTCTCTTGAAGATTTGTCTAAATCAGTTGACACTATTAATATAATCTGACTTGTATTTCGAATTGGAGTAAACGTTATGGTTTAACGATTATTCCTAAGAAAACTCAGGCCATTATCATCAGTAGTTCTAGATTAATTGGAAAAATTGACTGGTCTTCCCTACCTTCTATTTTACTAGACTGCATTCAAATCCCTTACAGTAACAAGGTTAAAAACCTGGGGTTGTATCTCAACTCTTGTATGTCTTGAACCTCACTGGTTAATGAGGTTAGTAGAAAAATGTTTGCTGTAATTTTCTTCCCACAGTAACTAAAGTTACGCTCGCCCAGTCTCTACTGTCTGCCTATCCTTGACTATGCTGACATTTGCTATCTTGACATTACCGACGAGCAGATTAATAAGCTTGAGCGCATTCAAAACTTATGTATTAGATTCATATTTGGGCTTCGCAAATATGATCATATCTCTGAATTTCGCAAACAGCTCAAATGGCTCCCGATCCGCCTTCACAGGAATACTCACATTATCTCCACTTTGTATGGCGTGCTGTTTAATCCTTCCACTCCTCATTATTTAAAAAACCGTTTCCAGTATCTTTCCCTTACCCATAATCGGTTCCTTAGATCCTCTGTCAATCTTTCTCTCTCTACATCTTTGCACTCTTCCTCCTTTTTCAAGAAATCCTTTACTGTAACTGCTGTACATTTGTGGAACTGTTTACCTCTCCACATTCATCGTACTCAATCTCTTCATTCTTTCAAAAGTCTTGTTAAATCTTATTACTTTCAATGCTATTAGATAAATTACTTTTCCTTTTTCGTACTCCTTTCATTTGATCTATTATATTATATCATACATAATCTTCACTTATTTTTATTTGTATGTATTTTCATATTTTTAATTTTTATTTTGTACACCCCCCTCTATTTATAACTATTGTTTGCATCAGTTCTCTACACTAAGGTTGTCTGGAAGAGATCACTTTCAGAGTGATAAGACCGCCTGTTGTACATTTTCTACTTTAGATTTAACTGTATTCATTTTGTTTTGTTTTTTGGTGGACAATAAAGAGTAAATAAATAAATAAAATAAAAAAAGCTGAACACAATAATGTCAAACCTGTTTCACATTTAAATTTGCAAAATAAACCACAAATAACTGGCTACACCTAACCCGAAAACAATATTTCTGACTATACCTTTATTAAAACTGTCTAATGGTGCAACAAACTATTACAACATATCCAAACATCTGGTTCTATCATTAATGAACAAAGGAGGATGGGATTTTTGGGGCTGAAGTTAACTAATTGGTTTATATTTTAAAAAATTGGCTATATATTTTATTTTATATTTTTAGCTCTTTTTACAATCTAGATTTTGAAAAAACAATAAAATGTGAAATAAATTAGAAAATCGATTGTAGTGTATTATTTATGGCAATAAATGGATTACCATAAAGAATACACTAGTGAAATTCTCATTTATGAATGTTATCTTCCAATAGAGGACTTCTTATTTTGAAACTTGACTCGACAATTCAAACTTTAAACTATTTACTTAAAAGAAAAAGACAGATTTCCGATTTGATTTGAAACAAGCGCAATGTAATCAATTCTCGGTTAACTGAGAAACCAATTTAAATTGAGCATTTTAGTATCTATTTTCAATTACTTTTCTGTGATAACTAGGGAGATTAAAAAAAAATTGCAAACATATCTACAAAATAATAATTAACAATACAAAATAGAAAAATTCCAATTAGTAACAGTTACAACAATAATTTAAGTAATCAATCTCAGATCGATATCCCTAATATTCACTTCACTTAGTTGTTTTTGTTTTAACTTTTATTAATCATTTCACCATTTTGTTTCATTATTAACCACAGCTTTTTTGGTGATTTTATACTGATCCTGCTTTTATATCTTTAAGTAATTATAGTGAAAACTAGCCTGTTACAGTGTAGGTAATAGATAATCTCACTTTTACTTATTCTACAATAATTCAGCTCCTAGATTGACAAATCTTGCCAGATTTTCATACTATGAATGGTTTATATATACGCTTTCAAATGGCCCTACTTTCATGTTGTTAACACTTGGGCCCAAGAATGTATGGAGACATCTCCTCCTTTCAATTATTGCTTAATATTAACTAACAAAATAATTTTGGAAAAAGCATTAAAATGATTGTCATAATTGCAAAGGGTTATTATTCTTTAAACTAGAGGTTCATCATGATTTGCAACTTTGTAGGGTGCTTATTGGTTTACTTAATCATGAGGAAATGGATCTCCCATTAGTAAAATATGTTAGCTATGCTTATGCTTAAAGTCAGCATCAAAGCATTATAATCATGAAACAAAGTAAACCAATATCTGAAGATCTACAGAAAAGGGTAGAACTAGGTGTTCCCACAAGATGCAATTAGTAGTTAGGTTAGGAGATAATTAACAACTCAAGGCCAGACACATACAATTACCACAAGCTACTTACGACTAGATAGCGTGCGTCGTGCTAGTATCAATATATCAGTTTTCCAAGATCTAGACGAATTTGTGATTCGCAGAAAATTGCTGAGTATTGTCATATTGACGTAAATGACATTTACACTCAAGCGTGATCTGCAAGTACCTCTAGTAAGTTGTTTTCTATCAAACGTCAACTATAATTGCAACTGCGAGACAATATTCAAAATGAAAACTGTGTTAATCACCGGAGCTAACCGTGGCCTTGGTCTTGGAATGGTCAAATATCTTATAAAGGAAAAGAGGACTGAAAAAATTTTCGCCACTTGTCGAAATGCTTCCGAGGTATGTATAACTTAACTAGTAACTACTCACCTATTGGAGCCATTATTAATTATAATACAATCACAGAATTAAATATTTATCACTGTCACTATTTTCAGATGTCTAGACGCTACTTTAGCGCTTGTAAAAATGCTACTGCTCGCAACAACGAGCAATATATAGGCTATATTTTAGAAATTATTATGGAGTGTGAAAGAGATAGCGCGAATGACAGGACAGGCATGCTATTTATTGGCGTAACAGCTGACGTCATTTGTGGTTTTTGTGTTAAGATTTTAACTTGGATGCTTGTCTTTTAGGCCTATAAGCACTGCTTTGTTTCACCGCGCGATTTTTTTTTTCGCGTAATTCTGAACTCATAGAATCTTATAGGAGTAGGCGCACTGGCGGTAAAAAATTCGTGCGGGAAAAAATCTGTGATTTGATGCAAATTGAACGCGATTTATTTCCGCACGAATATTTTGTGCAGTATAAAGTAAGTATAGCTATGTCCGCACTACGGAATAAAATTCGCGCGTTTCGCGTCTCTCTCCAGCTAAAATTATTATTGTCCAATTCGTATCTTGATAGGTAGAATATAGGTAGATAGCCTAACCAACAAGTTGTAGTAAATTATTGAATGATTTTATAGTCATTCTGTAATATCCGAAAAACTTTTTACTGTATTATCGCAGCCTTTGATGTTTTATGTTTTTTTTTTTTTTTTTTATAGGAGATGGGGCAAACGAGCATGCGGCTCACCTGATGGTAAGTGACTACCGCCGCCCATGAACAACCGCAACACCAGGGGAATTGCAGATGCGTTGCCGGCCTTTTAAAAAGGAGTAGGCTCTTTTCTTGAAGGTCCCTAAGTCGTATCGGTCCGGAAAAATCGCTGGTGGTAAACTATTCCACAAGGAAGTTGTGCGAGGAAGAAAACATCTTCTAAATCGCACAGTGGTGGACCGCCAATCATCCAGATGGTGTGGATGGTATCGGGAGTTCTGCCGCGATGTGCGTTCGTGAAATTTGGCGGCTGGGATTAATCCGAACAATTCCTCAGAGCACTCCCCATGGTAAATGCGAAAGAAAATGCTAAGAGATGCAACATCTCTTCGCAGTGCCAATGAGTCGAGCCGATCGGAAAGGACTCGGTCGTCGACGATTCGAGCCGCTCTGCGCTGGATGCGGTCAAGTGGAAGAAGCTGGCACTGGGGAGCCCCAGCCCAGAGATGGGAACAGTATTCCATGTGAGGCCGAACCTGCGCCTTGTAAAGTTGCAGGCGTTGAGCCGGCATGAAATACTGTCCCGCTCTGCTGAGCACGCCAAGCTTTTTAGAGGCCAATTTGGCCTTCTCTTCCAAGTGACCACGAAACTGCACGCTACTCGATATGTCGACGCCGAGGATTCCGATACTGGCTGAGGCAACAAGGGGAGTACCTTGAAACTGAGGAGATACGACAAAGGGGTTCTTTTTAGCGGTAAACGCGCAAACTTGTGTCTTCTGAGGATTAAACTGGACTAGATTTAGTCGCCCCCAATCCGAGACTTTGTTCAGCAAAGACTCGACTTCAGACACAAGTTTGTTCCGGTACTCGGTGACGTTTTCCCGAGAAATATTGGCACGGCCGGTGTATAGAGCATCACCAGTGCTGAAAAATACTTTCATCGGTCTCAAGGCCGTAAACTAGTGAATCCAATATTCATGACATCTTTTGATACGTCTATAACGCCGCTGCCGTAATATCAGATAAATTAAAAAAAAATGTTGTTCATTTTTAGACGTGCGTTTCAGCGGGGAACTGCATCGAACTGACAAAAATTGTACGAAATTTTATTCGAAGTGTTCTTTCACGGAATGTAATACGTCAGAATAAAAGTCGCGCGGTGAAATATCGCAGTGCGTCCGCACAGGGTCTTAAGGTATCGTTTTTAAGGAATTTATGGAATAGGTTTTAACGATCGGAAAAAGCGATTCGAATTAATTCTTGTATGTCTTGTCAAATTGTGGTATTTTTTACATCCTACCCATAGTGTCTGGTTTGCTTCTCGCCAACGTTTTTGCTGATTCTGCACTGATTGTAGTACTTGAGGAAATGGAAGTATTTTTGATCCCTCCAGTATAATTGCATCACGCCATAAGCAGAAGTGCTAGGTGGCCTGGGCTGTCACATTGACATCCCGGGATGCAAACACCAGCGCAGCGAAAAATATGATCTGCCTCCAGGTCCTTCAAATAGTTATTGTCAAGTCATGTACTTTACATTGAAAAAAAACAACAACAAAGCACATCGGTACTATTGATGAACAACTAGTTCGCCTTTCTTCGAGAAACCGTGCATTCTGGTCTCCTTTGCCAAGACTGTCCATTAAAAGTTCTGCTAACCTTTAAATATTTTGATATATATATTGATATTGATCCCTGAAAATAGGATAGTTGCTACCATGATGTTTCTAAATGTTTTCATATTTATTGTAAATAAAAAAAAGGTTTTATTCATAAACACGGTCTCACAAGTACATATACCACATGAGTGAATAAACGGAATAGAGGTAAAGCTTCATACAACCGCGCGAATCCGGTGCTACAAGCACGCGGTACTTGTATGCTTGTCGCGTACGCGGCGAGACTGCAAAAAACCGGTACACTAGCACCTTCAGTACGACGTACATTTTTTGTTTTGTTAGTTGCATGTTTGAATATTTTGATGTAAACGTGGTATTATTAATAATGGTTGTTTATTGTACTGTGTGTAAGAATAATACTAGAAAAAATAAAAATACATCATACTTTAACTATCCCAAGGACCCAAGGAGTAGTAAGTACCTTAATTTTATTGTATGATCCTTTTTTAATGAGAAGAGGGTGTGTTTTTACCTTTTTATTGTTATTACAAGCTTTTACTAATAACTTGTATGTATGTGAGTGGGTTGGTATGTAGTAGGTATTAGGTATGTGGGTTAAGTTCACATATTGCAAGTAAAATTTGAACCTTTTCCCGATGTCTTATTGATTTGAAATTTTGTATACTGCAACTTCAGTGATAATGTAATAATATGATAGATATTGTTTTGTTTAATTTGTCATCACCTATTGTGACAACCCTACCAAAATAGGTAACAATTTTGCACGTTCTTAGGAAGATTTGTCTCGGTTCTGTTTATTTACTCATATGACATATACCATGGTAGACTTCTTCAATTGAACGCATAATGCGCCCGTATCGGAAGTAATCCCCTCTTCCATATCATAAAATTTACTAAAGCAAGAACCGCTTGTATTAAATTTAGAGTAAGTAAAAATAGTATGTGTAGTGTGTGTGTGTATTATATGTGCAGTGTATGTGCGTGTACTGTGTTGTGTGAAAGTTTTCTTACGTATCCCCTCTACACAGCCCTACGGCATAAAAGGTCTTGGGATCAGCGTTAAGACACCGAACAGAGGTGGTAGTTACATGTACAAGTATATGGAGGTTATCGAGCGTGTTACACATAAATATCCTCCTATCAAAATTCAAATTTTAATAGGTTTTTAACTTCAATAAATTCTAATGTCTTTGTCATTGTCATTGAGTTTTTATTTACAATTTCGATAAGTCCTAGGATAATATAATATAGCAAATTTAGTCTTGGTGTAATTTAGTGTGGCGACTCAATCTTTTCTTCTTTTAGTTAAAATATTGGTGTCAATATTAAAGGACTTATGTTTTTTCAGAACTACGTGCGATACGTATAGTCTACGAACTGCTAATAAATCTGCATATAAATATAATGAATTTGTTGAAAAATGACGTGTTTTGAAATACATGATTTTAAAGATCCCCTTTGAGCTCGTTCTTATTGTATAAAATGAGTTTTTACAGCACCACCCCATTTCGTTATACAATAAATCATTGTGCCAACGCAATATAGAGATCTGATCAAGTAACTTTTTATTTGCAACATGTCTTAGTATTTTAAAAATCCACATTAATTTACGTAATCTGCCAGAAACCAATTCGACATGAGACATCCATGAAAGTCTCTGGTCCACTAAGACACCAAGGTAGTTCGTAGAAGTTGCGAGTTAGTTATAGTGGGGCAGTTGCAATTTTTGCTAACTAGCGGCTGACAGCATTGAATCTTAATATTGCTGGGAAAGTCAGGCAGACTGTTTTTTATGGAAAACACAATATAATTTGTTTTGCTGGTATTTAAAGTTAATAAGTTCAGACTTAGCCATTGCGAAATCACAGCCAAACCGTGATCTATATTAGTCTTTAAATTATTCAAGGAGTCGCCTGTAAACACAATGGCAGTGTCGTCAGTATATGAGAATATGCTAGCACGTGGGGTCTTCATATTGCAGAGTTCGTTTATGTATATTAGAAACAGGGTGGGTCGTAAGACGCTTCCCTGCGGTACGCCATAAGTTAGACTAGTTTTTTGACTTATATGTGAACCTATTTTTACCCTCTGAGTCCTATACCAGTCATATAACTTTTAAGTAAGTCAAGGGGCACACCTCAGAAATAAACGTATTAACTTTGGCATCGCAATATATTTATGAGAATGTAATGTATGTGCATAAAAACATAAATAGCTTTAATAAGAATAAGAATGTGCATACTTTAAATACTAGGAACAAACATAAGCTTGTAATGCCAGTTACTAGACTCCACAGAATCAGTAATTCATTTATGGGGCAATGTATACGCTTTTACAACAAAATCCCAGAACATATTCAAAGTTTGTCAATAAACAAGTTTAAAAGTTTTATTAAAGAAAAACTGTACAAAAAGTGTTATTATAATATCAAGGAATACATGAATGAAAATAACCCCTGGGAATAGGGTGATCGCCACCATGCTGGTTCTATGAAAAATCATTTAAAAATTGTATAAACAAAATTATTGTTAAGTGAAATTATGTTTAAAAAAAAAGTCCCGCTGGGTTTCTTGCTGGTTCTTCCCAGGACTGAGGTATTTTCCGAACCAGTGGTAAATAAAAAATGACTTTCAATAAGTATTATGTAATAATCAATATTGAATAAAAAATTATTCTATTCTAATTAACTAAATGACAGAGAACTGGCACAATTTCTGCTCTTGCAAGTTTTAGGAAACTAGCAATTAACATTATCCCAGCCTGGGGCACTTTTCGATTTTAGGATCATCAGAATAGAGTGCACTTCTTACATATCTGTATCGTAGAGAGCAAAAGATGATGTCTGAGAATTTGTACAAAAATTGTGTATAAATTGTCTCTTGTTTAGATGGACAATGCATCTCCCAAGTTTTTGCCCACAAAACTAAAGTAGTTATTAGCTTGATCAACGGAATCATCTGCGCAAGGCCCAATTTGCATTAACTTTTTATTATCCTTTTTAGCGCTTCCTATATATTGCTTTAGCGACATTTTACCAGAGATTCGTAGAATCACCCACCGAGACCTCCAGAAGCTTCTGTTCATATTTTCGTTTCAAATTTCCTACCAGATTTTTGCAATAATTTCGGTATCCTCGGTAGGAAATTTTAAGAATCTCGTCGTTGGGATTTTGACGGAGCTTTTGCTGTAGGTTAATCCTGTGCCTGATAAATATGCCCTGCAAAATACCACACCTGTGCGTGCGTGCGTGCGTGCGTGCGTGCGTGCGTGCGTGCGTGCGTGCGTGCGTGCGTAGATGCGTGCGTGTGTGCGTGCGTGCGTGTATGCGTGTGTACGTGCGTGTGGGGTTGCGGGGTGCGGGTGTGTATGTGTGCGTGTGTGCGTGTGTGCGGGGTGCGTGTGTGTGTGTGTGTGTAAGGGTATATGAGGGTGAGTGTGAATGTGTGTGTGTGATTATGTGAGATTGTGTGTTTGTGTGAGGTTGGTTGAGTGAACTATATAGTATAGTAACAATTAATTTTATAACAAATAAGTTGCATGAAATATAAATATTTACTAGTGTATAAAAAATATAACTAAATATATATAACGCTTCGATTTTGTACATGACATCATACCAACAACAACGTCTAGAACATAATATATCCTGGGATCGCGGAAAAATATTATTTTGCGACTACAATAAAGATAACAATACATCACTAATATCAGTCACTTGTTCATAAGTTTATGCACTTGGTCTTCCGATTTAATCGTAATGACAGGAGCTCCGTCAGTCTCCCGAACATAAACCCTGCCGTAAGCAGTCCAGCAGTACTTGTACTGCTTGGACTTGACCAGGGCTCTGGCGAGAAAATGCAACTGGGCGCCTTTTGAAGTGAGTTGTTCCGATACGAAGATTGGCGTATCCTCCGAAATTCGGAACCCCAAGTGCTTAGCACATAGTTTACTTTAAATTTTTATATTGAAGGTCTTACACAATTTCTAAATATCATTTTTCACCAGAGTTGATGTAGTTTCAATTACAATCGGAGTGTTTTGAGTCTTTTTTTTTGCACGAACCCTATATCATATGTCTTTAATATCGGTTTTGAGCAGGTTACCTCCCACGGTATTTGATAAACATAAGGTCATTTCGATCAAATCTTCTTTTGATTCATTACTTTTTTTAGACACATTTTTAATCTCTAGATTTGATTTACGGCACCCTATTTGCAAATTTTCAACCATTTTCTCCAATAGCGTAATATATTCTCTGTCTTCTTTTGCTTTATTTTCTAACTGAGCAATTCTTTTTGTTAATTCTTGATTATGAGACGATAACGTTGCAATAGAATTTTAAATATTTAAATACGCCTGTTTATTTTCCATCAAACCTGACGAGAATTTTTTAAATTCCTGGTGTTAGCTCGTAACCGGAATTTAACTTCTCAAGCATAGTTCTCATCTCCACTTGAAATTACTTAAAATCCTCTGTCGTAACATTTCTAGGCCGGTTGTAAACAAACGGCGGCGTCACATTCGCAGCATTACCTGACTCATCGCCCTCACAGATCGATATATTAATATTGTCGTGGCTCATTACCAGGTAAATAGAAGACTGGAGGAGGTATGTACACTAACACGCGTCCAAGTGAAACCTAGCTGGTTGAGAATAAAGCGCAGACAGGCTCTCCGCACTAGCTGGTTGAGAATAAAGCGCAGGCAGGCGTGCTGTTATCAAAAAGAGATGAACGGGGATTTGCCAGCTCAGCGACTGTGACGCGCCATACAATTGATGTATGTGTGCTATTAGAGCAATTCCAGTGCATGCGAGAGAGATAGTAAGCGCAGCGGGAGGGTGCGTGCAGGATAGGAGCAGATCGGCAATGTGACGTAGGCGCACCGCGCGTTGGATGTTCTATCAACTCAAAATAATAAAGGTTATAACTAACCAGTATTACGTGCAATCACACGCGTACACGGTGTAGATGTATTGAGTCGGTGTTATGCTGGGGCTACAGTAACTAGAAACGTCAATGCCCATAAACGCAACAATTATTGCCTTAATTTTAATCCGATAAAGTGAGTGGCCACACTTGGAACGGTCAACGTCATTTCAATTTCAATGCCGTTGAACGGCCTTAAAGTTGGCGTTAATGTTCCTTGAATATATTTTATTATATGAATAATATATTTTATTATATGAATAATATATTTTATTATATATAAATTCTTATTATATGAATACATTTTATCATATTATATTTTTTATATTTATTTAAATGGGTTCTATAATAACCCATTATAAGGCTTTCCTTCTTCTTTTTAATTTGTTCCATAGTTTCGATAGTAGATTTTGCGATGTACAATTCTTAAAAATTTTGAGTTTCGGATCCCATAAACATAGCTATGTTTGCAGAATCTCAAACGTAAGATTTTTTCATTATTCCACTGCATAGCCATACGTGCGATCCCGTTGCTCTTACCGTGCACAATGAGACAAACGTAGTGTGGCCGCTTCAACGCGTTAACTCGTGCGTTAATCTCTTTGATGTACCGCCACTCGAGTTATCGCCCAACGGCAAACGGCATTGTTCATGCCGTTGTAAAATTATCGCTTTAAGTGGTGGCCACACCTACGTGCAACTCCCATCAACGCGATAATTAACGGTATTTCTCGTTATATAGTGTACTATCTATGGTGTAGCCCAGGCATTAGACGAAGCGGCCGCTAGATGATCTCTTCTAGACTTCTGTTATCCTATTATTTCAAAATGATTTTTGAAGTGAAACCTTTCGTTAAAAATGTATTTAACAAGCACGGATTTAGTGGTTACGTTCGCACTCGATGCGGTCCGGGGGGAAGAGAATTTTACTATTTACGTGTACATGTGTGTATTAAAATTTAATTGTACTATAATTAAAATTAAATGACGTATTATATTGTTTATAAAAAAAAATTCCGCTGGGTTACTTGCTGATTCTTCCTAGCTTTGTTTTTTTAGCCGTGGTCGCATTTTCCGCTGCACCTTTGTTCTATAATCTGAGGCCTAATAATTACAAGCTTCTAAAATGTAATGGTGATTAAAATGTAACGACATTTATTTATTTGTAGGAACTCACAAAGTTATCCGATGAACATAAAAATCTTCACGTCTTGCACTTAGGTAATAAAATTAAAATAATTTTTTTAAATATTTTTTTTTATTTTTTAACAAACATAAGTATCGATTTACAATTTAGAAAGCTCCTAATTGTTTTTTCGTTTTTATCAGATGTAAAAAAAATTGATAGTTTCGCTGATTTTTCAACAAAAGTTAGTAAATTACTAATAAACGACGGCCTTAATCTTCTTGTGAATAACGCTGGGGTGACAACCAAATTTACAAAACTCAATCTCGTTAAAGAAGAACAGTTGATGGAGAATTTTATGGTGAATACTGTCGCACCGATTATGCTCACCAAGGTAAGTGTTAAGGTAACCGAGCTTTAATTAGATATACATATACATAATTATCGAAATGGCATGGCATTCGGTGTACCATATGTCTTGCACCCTAATCGTACTCTTTGTCGCAGTTTTTAACTTATAATTGCCAAGTCTTGAGTGATAGCCTCCCGTTAACTTCCGATGACCACGACGACAACTTTTAAATAGCCATCATAGTATCACTAGTGACCATATTAACACTGTTCACTCTTACCAACGTACTTGTGAACAATGTGTCGTTTATGCAATGACATCGGTTACCTAAGATGCAGTATCTGAGACATTGGAAACACTCTCAACACAACCCAGCTCAAAACCAATTCTGGGCCAACCCAAGCCCCGGCAACGACAGCCTTAGGTACTTTTATCCCATTCTATTCTTTTTTTATAGAATAAGGGTGACAAACAAGCACACAATCCACCTGGTGGTACGTGGATGCTGTGGCATTTATCCTCAATTAAAAATCAAAATGCAGATGCGTTGTCACTGCCGAAAACTGAGATGGAATGTCTCGTTTCCAGTTAAAAGGGTCTCCGATTCTCTACACTCACCATACAAAACACAGCAGCATTAAGCTGCTATTTTACGCTGGCATTCTGTGAGAGCGTGGTCTTACCTCGGTCGAGCCGTACCCATCCGTGCTTACAACTGCAGCGTGGGTCTATCAAGATACATCAAGATTTTCCAATAAAAATGGTAATTTATTTATTTATTTATCCCATATTGCAAACACCTCTAATTAGGGGCTACAAGGGGAGGATTAAATGCTCTATGGTATTCTCTACTGGTAAACCTTCGTAATAGGACCCTAAACGATTTTATATGTTATATACTTTTTTAATTCCCACCAAATAACCACAAATCTTACGTAGTATACCATCACCACGTAGTACATTAATTGGTATAAAATGTAACAATAAAAGAGTTTCCTTGTCATTTTAGACACTTCTGCCACTTTTAAAACAAGCAGCCGATGTAAACAGCGACAAACCTATTGGAGTACACCGGGCTGCGATCGTAAACATAAGTTCGGTGCTTGGCTCTATATCACAGAATGATCAAGGCGGATTTTACCCATATAGATGCTCAAAAGTAAGATTTATTTTTGATAAGTTTTCTGTTTTAGATGTGTACTTATTATTATCTTTATCTATCAAGTGTTACTCTGTATTTTGTTTAAAAAAATTACGGTATATATTACTTTTCGTAAACTATCAGGCTTGTGTACAAAATATATTGTAATTACCTAACATTTTCAGGCAGCATTAAATGCAGCAACAAAATCAATGAGCCTCGATCTAAAAAAAGACCAAATTCTTGTCACTTGTGTACATCCCGGCTGGGTAAGAACCGATATGGGAGGTAAAAACGCACCGCTAGATATCGATACTAGTATTAATGGTATTTTTAACACTCTTTGCAAACTCGGTGAAGCTGACAGCGGAAAATTTTTGGAATACAATGGAAATGAACTGCCCTGGTAACAGCGATTTCGTCGTCAATCACAGATGATAAACTTAAGAACTAACTGTTAATAAAATAAATGTGAATGGTATTTTTGTATTTTATTCAAAAATCTTCGATTTCCATTGGAACCTTAAATAGGTTTTTTTTTTCATTCGTAAAAGGAGCATAATAAACAATGTAAAACTATTCCTCACTATACTGATATATAGGATTTTCTCCTGTATCGTGGGAGCAGTTTACATACATAAATTTCACAAGGCCAAGACCGTATACAGGCCGTATACAGCATAAAATACGAACACACAAACATAATTTTTTGTATATTAAGATATTGCCGGTATTCATAACTATGCAAATTAATAGTCACAATGAAATAGTACCTCAGGTTTTGTATAGAATGTTTAAAAAATTAAATATAATTATCGATTTTTTTTTATTCTTTAAATTGTTTAATTTAACTGAACTGCTATGAGAGTTTTCAAAACATGTGAAATACAACGCCTTATTCTACTACGAACAAAAAATTAATGTTATGTATGTATGACGAGTGAATATGACAAGTTTGCTTAATAAACGTAATAATAATTAAATAAAGTTTCGATTATGTGAATATAGAAACTTGTGGCTTTCGAGCCAGATATGAACCAGCGACCTATGGATAATGCAAAGAGTATATTCTAATTATATACAGGAGAGGTCTATGCGATGTCCAAGGGGCTGCAGTGCTTTGGTATCTATTTTTATTGAGTTTATGCTGTGTTTTATCTTGTCAATAAGTAAGTAGTCAAAAATATTTACAGATTTGACAAAACATGCATGCATATGCTGTTTTTTATTATTGAAGTTATTCAAATTATTATTAAGGAGCGTTTGGGAAGAATGATGAGAGTGAATTCTTTACGATGCGCGCGCACACCGACACCTAAAAACGACACCATGAAGCTGTTACGATGCGCGCGCACATTGACACCTAAAAGCGAAACTTCAGTAGGTAATTGTCTCTTCAAGTTTTTTTGTTTTGTTACGTTAAAGAAGTATAACTTCCTACGTGCCTACACACACACTTTTTTTAATATCTACATAAATGTTAGTTAATCTTCCACCACAACCATTATCGTTCTGAACGCCTCTTCCTATAAACATAGTATTTACATATATAATTTAAAATAAATAGTATTTATAAGAATAAATTGTTAGAAAATGTTATCCATGGCGTGCTTTTTTACTAACTTGAATTAAAGATCAACTTACCTTTCCACCTGGGAAAGTACGTGGTCCCGACCACGCTATCTATTTCAGATTCTATGTCTGTTATATTTTCTGTGTTTCCCACGTTGTTTTTACCTGGATTTTATAAAAAAAAATATTTATAATAAATAAAACATTTTGTATTATGACATGGAGCAATATATCAGTAATTAACGATATCATCATCGTAATCTACCAGTCTGCAAGCTGTTGCTAACATTTGCTATAGATACGTATTTGGTAGACAGACGAACCATAGTAAAAACTGTCTGTTTTTACTATGGACGAGCTCAGTACCGGACTGCTGAATCCTTTTCTATCAAATTTCGATATTCTAAGAATGTTTAATTTTAATGCTCCATACCAAATGCACAAAAATGGTAGATACCTACACCTCAGGCATCTTATTGGTGTCTATTTATCTGAGATGCTTAGTGATAAATTTGACATAGTTATAAGTTCAATTAATTTGTCACAGTCTACTCACACGTGTCACTGTGCAGGCGATTCAGTAACGATACGCTAATCAACAGTTTGGTTGCCAACGCCTACCAAAGCGAAGCGATCGAAAAGCGCAGGGAAGATTTTGATTGCTAGTTTTTTTTTCAGTTTGACGGGGTATCTGTCCTTTATGAAATCGAAATAGAATCATTGCCGAATGGTATTCCGCCAAATTTCTCCATTTTATTCCCCTATCCCCGAGTATTATATCAAAAGTACGTCGCTATCTATAAGTGAGTGTTTGGATTTGACGTTAGATGCTTGTTAGATGTTAATTATATAACCGCGTGACGTAATTCAAAGTAATCAGTGTTAAATTACAAGTTTTTGTGAGAGTTTCATGTGTTTTAACTTTGAGACCAATTAAAAATACCGACAGAAATGAGATCATAATTTATAATATTATAAAAGTGTGATTACGTGACATAGTTATTTAATTTGCGGACATACCTAAACACGATAAGGATTTATGTTAACGCGTTACATTATGGATAACGGACCAATAATTATTTTTATTTACGCGAAAAAGTCAAACACATAAGTATCCGTTATAGTTACGAAAATTATTTTGAGATACAAGACAGAAAATTTCTACAGTTTTGAATCATTCATAGTCTAAAACTACATGTCATACAAATACAAAGTAGGCAGAACGTGATTTCCTATTCATATATCAAAAAGTTATTCAAACACATTGTGTTTTTCCGTCAACAAATTCCCACTAGCAACCCGGAGTCAAGAAGCTGGCGGTATTTCACCCTCGGAAAACACGTAAAGCCGTCCTGCCTGATCTCTCTCTCCAGTAGTATCGGATTTCCTGTCCCATCCTATCAGACTACGAAAGAGAGGGAATAGAGAGTGCTTGCGCACACACTTGGACGCTATAATGCAGCTCTGCGCAGATGGCTTATCCCCGTTGAGTCTTCTTCTCCTGGACATAGTCTCTTCTAATAGTTCAATATAAGAGTTAAGTGATCGAAACGTGCTAGAGCTGAATTATATTTTTTATAGAATAAGGTTGACAATCGAGTACACAGCCCATCTGATGTTAAGTGGATGCTGTGGCCCATAGATATCTACATCTATCCTCGTTTAATAATCAAAATGCAGATGCGTTGTCACGCTTATAGACTAAGATGGAATGCCTCGTATCTAGTAAAAATGGGTCTCCGTTTTTCTATACTCACACAACACAGCAGCATTTCACGCTGGTATGAGAACGTGGTCATTCTCCGGTCGAGCCGACCCATTCGTGCTACAACTATGATATAGCTGAAGCATGGCTCTTTCACGTTTAAAATAATAACGGTTTTAGCTCGAAAGATTTGGCCCGTCTGGCATTTTCTAGCCTCGAGTATTTCGTTGGTATTCCAACGTATAAATAGCAGCTTAATGCTGCTCTTTCGAATGGTGAGTGTAGAGATCCGGTGACTCTTAGTGGAAACGAGGCATTCCATCTTAGTTTACAGGCGTGACAACGCATCTGCATTTTAATACTTAATCGAGGATAGATGTAGATGCCTATATGGACCACTGCATCTACTTACCATGAGTTAGGCTCTGTGCTCGTTTGTTACCCTCATTCTATAAAGATAAATTGCCCAACAATAAATGACGAACTGCTACAAACAGCCATTAATTTTTTTCAGAAATAGACGAATTATTATTATATTTTTGCCATTCAAGATTGCACCAATTGACACAACTAATATCGTAGTCGCACGTTGCTCCGAGTTTAACGTTTGTGTTCTGAGAGGAGCTAGCGTAAATAAATTTATTAATTACTAGCTGTCCAGGCATACGTTGTTCTGCCCTTTCCGAAGACCCTTCCTATAAAAAATTCTTAAATTCGCAATAAAAAATATTGAGGGTCACTTATCGGGATAAAAACTATCCTATCTCTCAAGTTGGACCAAACTGCATAGAGTGTGCAAAGTTTCATTGAAATCAGTTCAGTAGTTTAGGAGTTCATCGCGGACAAACAACGTGACACGTAATTTTTATATATAAAGATTATTATTAGTAACGACATAGACATAGTCTATTATCTATCCATACGTCATCGAGTCTATTATCGTCAGAATAAGAGATTGAACAAGCAAAACTTTTGTAGCAGTTGGAAGAATTTTTTTAGGCGATAAAGAGATCGTAATGTTGCAGTAACTTTGCGGCTTACCTCCTGCATCTGCTTGTTCTACGAAAGACAGCTATCAAAGTACAGACTGATATTTTTTTTCACCTGGATAGTATGGGATATCATTGTTGCTGTAGGAAATAAACGGCAAAGTGGAAACATCTAATTTGGATAAGTATCTAGAACTACCTAAAATGATCGCTTGATATTTAGAAGAATTCACGTCAATTCCAAGCACAGTAGACAATTCAAAGATATAATATAAATCTTCGTTTTGTAATGCTATTGACTTATTAATATTGGAAGGTTTCGCCTGTGTATATAGTTCTAGAACATCGGCATACAGAAGACTTATTAACACTTGAGGTTTAATGTGATAAGATTGATAAAATTTGGAAATAAGACGTAAGAGAAAATCGCCTTGAGGGACACCGGTTAATGCATCACTCCAATTGCAAACATTATGGCCAGAACGCACGGCCTGTTGGCGCCCTCGAAGATATGGTGAGAACCAATCCTGAGCTGAAGACGAGATATTCAAGTGAGAGAGTAGAACTAGCAAAATAGAGTGGTCCACAGTATAAAAAGTGTTAGAAAAATCTATTAAGATAAGAACTGTTAATTTGGAATTTTCCACGCCCTCTCGAATGTCTTCAGTAACCTTTAGAAGGGCGGTTGTTGTGCCATGCTCAAGGGGAAATCCAGACTGATATGAGGAAAGAATCTTGTTTTTGAAAATAAAAGTAGAAATTTGATTATGAGCAACAGTTTCCAAAACATTAGATAAAAATGGCAAGGTACAAATTGGTTCAAAATAAGAATGAGGGTTGCATTTGGTGGATTTTATTTCATTATAAACACGCCAGAAGTTTAGTTTCACCAATTGTCCCTACGTGGAAGCAAATTAAACGATATCACGCATTAAAACAATAAGAAGTTAATCAATGACTGGCTGTAAAAAATATTTACAGCCAGTGCTGCTATACCTTTCTTCTTCTCCTCCGTCAGTCCATACGAGCCTCTCCCATTATAGGGAGAATTAGCCTTAATCGTAACGATTTGCAGGCGCATTGACGATCGCAGTACTACTTCCTTTTGATATTTGTATTTATGTATCTGTATTTTTTAATTGAA